TCACAGGAAGCCACTACCCATGAGTGCACTGGATCAACTGGAAAGAGACCTCATCCCACCAGACTGGGCCAGACTGTGCTCCGTCATACGTCCAGAGCCAAAGGAATGCAGCTCTCTTTGTGTCAGAGTCAACACAACCTCAATCTCTGCTTAAAATCCAATGCAGCCTCTCTGCCTGTCAAGCTTAAAGAGACAAAAAAGAGACTGCAAAACAAAACTGATTGTCTGGACAGACTGACAGTTTATTTGAAGTTGAAATTAATTCTGAAGCTCATGTTATTCATGAGAAATTCACTTTAGAAAATATTGCATTTTTATGATAAACAGGACTATATTTAAAAAAACAAATTTATAACTCATGGAGTTATAAATTTAGCACACAAACTTTGGCTACAGTGGGCATAACAGGAAACAAGATTACTGAGCTTTTTGTATGGGGACTGCACCTTTTTTAAATACAGAGACAGGGTCAACTGCCAAGTAGCTGAGTGTGCTTTCAGTTACCATGGCAACATGGCGAAAGACGCAGTAGCTGTGGGTTGGGGTTTGTTAAAGTGAGTGTGTGTGTGTATATTTTTGTTTGCTTGTGTATGTACTGGTCTATCCGTGTGTGTGCTGTTTAATTGCATGAGTGTGTGTGTAGGTTCGTTGGGTGTGTTTGCGACAATGACAGGACCCCTCTCAGGAAATTAGCCCTGTATCACATTAATCTCACACACAGATCAGGGTCTTCAAAGTGCCAGCTCTGGAGGGGAAGTGTGTCTAGATTAGTGCTGTCATCTAGCCTCGACTTGGCACAGGAAACAAGAAAGCCTCTTGCCCACCATCAAAGGCACAGCAGATCTAACAGAGTCTTCAGTAGTCTGCCACTTCAAACCTTCTCCGAGCTGAGCTTTTCCTTCAAAGTCTCCTTTCTCCAGAGAGGTGCAAGGAGAGAAATATCTGAATGCCGCTATGCTCACAACAAGCAATGCTCGCAGCATTTGTACGGCCAAGTTGCCTGTAAGATTTTTTTGTTTCTTTTTCAACTGCATCTTATTTTGTGTTTCTTTGCATGCTTGTGTTGTTGTAAGAATGTAGAAAATGTACAGGAGAGGAACATCCAAAACTCCACTTGTTGCTGCAGTAATGGCAGTGTGGCTTGAAAGTCACTTGACTTGCGTTACGTAACATCCTCATTTTAATCCAAATGATTAAATGATGATCTTTTCCTAAACCTAAACAAGCAGTTTTGTTGGCTAAACATGACCAAACTGCAACTGAGATGCACAAGGGGTCTTGTGCTTCTGTATGAGATGCCAAGGCGCGTGAAACAATTGGTATTTCATGACCTATGATGAGAATGTGTTGGCCCTTTATACATGAACATCTTACAAAAACATAAATATGAGTAAATAAATGTTTTATATATACAGCTGAAATTAGATAGGCAAGGGAGAGAGAGAGAGAGAGAAAGAGAGAGATAAAGGGGATGAAACAGGAGAGGGCAAGGCCTTGGTACATGGGGCATCAGCTCTACCAGTTGAGCTATCAAAGCACCCTAAGTAAACCTTTCTCTTACTTCTGCATATTCATTTTCAATTTAAGAGAGGTTAGAGTTCTTTAAATGTTTACCATATCCAGCCGCACAAGAACTTTGGTGGTCTTGGAGATGCTGTAACATCTACATTGGTTTTTATGGAGAACGAAATTCAATTTCCACCAGAGTGGAGAATTTACATCATGGAAATATATGAAAGCAACAAACTGGTTTTATGTGTAATCTATATGCATGTAGCAGTTTTCCTTTCTCCTCCTCTTACAGGTTGTGGCCCTCAGTGGCTGCCTCAACATGGCAAGGTCACGACTTACCAGCTGATTACACACTGTGGGAAACTGTAAACCACACTGACAACAGACTTCATCAGAAATCCTACAGAGGAAAATGATTGTGAGGGTTGAGTGTATAGAGTATAGAGGTCACATTGCAGGTTTGTGAAGAGGTGAAGCGACAAACAAATTCCATGTATACTTAAGTAGCTAATCAGAGCGTCACAGTCAGGCAATCAGAGAGAGATGGGAGCCAACGGTCAGGTCCTTGTCCACAGGAACGGCAACACTCAAATACCACCATCTTCATGCAGCCTGCTGTGTATGAAATGGACTGAAAAAAGCATAGCCTACCTGTGTGTTTCATGGGAATGTGAAAAAGATGAGACAAATGAGACAATTTAGCAATCATTTAATTTCCTTATTTTAGATTTATCTTCTTGGTTTATTGGACAAGATTTTTCTTTCTTTGTTCCTTTTTTGATTGATGCTACCTTTTGAATAAATGTGATGTAGCATGCCATAAGTTAACAGTACTCTGACAATTGAATAAAGCTGTAGGACTCACAAGAGACAGAAAAAAGGTAAAGATTGATGGAGCAGAGCCTGGTATCTCCTGAACTTTAGTCCCAGATATGGTTCAGGGCTCAGAAAACCCCCCTGTTTTTAACAAAGGCTTTGTAAATTTTTAATGGAATCTCGAAGCACAGATAACATCTCAGACTTGACAAAGCTCCTCCAGAGCCATAAAATAACTTATTCTGTGACTATTTTCACAAGCTGATGAGTACTTTTTCCCCCAAACATTGTTCATTGATTTTCTCCATGAAATGACATTAGAGAAAGATGCACAACAAAACCCCATCCACCATCCTGACGGTAAATACCTCCCCCCAAATGATTATAAAATGACCTATAAATAACCATAATAAATAGAAACATTAAGAATAAGACCATAATAAAGGAGAGCAACAGCAAGGTGACTATATTAATTAAAACACCTCATGTAAAAGAAAGGGCTCCCAAACCCACACCCCCCTTACTACTGGGTAGCGATCTATTGACAAAGCAGCGTTATTTATAATTTTGGAACATTGCGTGCCATAGTCCATCTCCTACCTTCTCTTCCTGTCTCTCTCTCAAACACATGCACAGTCAGAGCACAGCTGCTCGCTGTGAAAGAAGCACCGTCTGTGTGCGCGGTGCGTGTACGTATGTTGAGAAAAAGAGATGCAATGTTTGTGTCTTTAATGAATATTTACTGGTATTCAAGTTTTGTTTTAAGTATGAGCTTTCACCTGTATTTATAGATTACCATTATTGGGAGGGTCAAAACTCTTTCATTTGTATATTTGCTGGGGACTTACTAGCGATTACGCACATGGGTAGATCCAACAGTTAAATGTTGTGCCATCTGGAACGAGCTTTCATGTCGTCACATTTCTTGTTCAGAGACTCAACTGCAGCAGGCAGCATACCAACATTAGGTGAAACTAGACAGCTGGTTAGCATGCTCAATAGCTGAATGCTCCAGGTCCAATCTAATCCCCCACTGTCCAGTATCTTTTCTCCATTGGCTTCAGAGCAGTTACTTCCTTTTTAACCAACTCTGAAATTATGGATTCAAACTGTGATGATTTCGGCCCGGGTATCGTCCATCAAGTACTTAATGCTCCTCAGCATAGCTTCATTAATTCAATTCAATTCAAT